ATTTATCTAGAAAACTAAGAAAGAAAAAAAGCAGAAAAAAAAGAGAAACTAACAAAGGAGAGACCACTAACTTAGAAGAAACAAAGATAAACTTTTTTTCAATAGATGTTTGCCAAATGCCAATAAGAAAATGTATTTGAATTACCTAAATGAAAGACAAAATGGGAATGCCAATTAGTTGGGGTCTTACAAAAATATTCTAAAAATTCTAAACAGCATTATGTTTCCTAGGGATTTAAGATATTAAAGAACTGCTGATGCCTCATAGACATCTTTGTTCTATCCTGCACACTTGGTTCTCCATGGAGACACAGTATTCACCATCCTAAGGACCGACGGACAAAAGATATGACCTGTGCTGGATCTTCCTACCTGTTGACACAGTCTTTCATTTGATAAGGAAATCTTTAAATACTTTTTTCTTTAATTATTTTGACTGCCTTTGCCCTAATCAAATGTGGCTTTGGCGTGCTACTGCATTTCATTAACTTTGTCAGTCAGTTCCTTGACTTTAACATATAGACTATTGAATGTCCTTTTTCTTTTTAGATCTGTGTCAGTTCTAAAATTTATCTATTGACACTCAATTTTTCTCCTTTCTGAATTCTCTTTGGATGTGTTCTGCTCTTATCAACAAAATTAAACTAACTGTTGATCCTTCCCCTTCAGATTCCTTTCAGCACTATCTTCTTCCTATGACCACATCTATTACTAATTAAGTTAGCATAAATCTGGAATTTATCCATTGTATTTGAGAGGTGCTTCAGTCAATCCAGTTTTGGTAATTCTTTGCACAACCAAATGGAGCAAAATAGGTCCTAGATTTTATCCTCCTTTCTATGCTTAAATTACATGAGCACATTTTTAAGAATTTATTGGATCTTTGTATTCTTTTTCTCCCAATCATGATCTTTATGTATAATTTCAGCTTGAATTGTAGCAGTGATTATTCATCATAAATAATCTTCAAATAAGTTTTAAAGACTAAATCCAATAGCCAAAAATTGTTTAAAATGCCTTTTTTAAAAAACTAAAATTAGCCTGCCAAGTAAGATGTGAGCTGTCGTCTGTGATTCTACTGGACCTTGTGATTCCAGATTTGTCAGCTATACATAACAATCAATGACTAAATCTTATTTCTATTCATTTCACATTATTGACTTGTAAATTGTGTTTTACTTTATTGCTAGATTTGGAGTAGGTAAGTATATCAAAGTGTGCATCTTGTTCCTCTGAAATTTTGCCTTTTTTGTAGAATCTTTTGTGAGTGAGAAAGAATTGCACACTAATACCTATAAGTTATGCTGTCCCTTCTCAAGCACTTTTGTAGAGACAGTTCAAGAGCACCATAAACTCATGAACTGAATTTGATGGGAATAGAGACTGAAGGTCACATCTGAGCATAGAAATAACTTTGCATACCCATTTTTGTCTTTCTTAACACTTGTTTTCAGTATGCTTCTTTCCAAACTTGAAAATAAGAAAAGCTAGGTAATTACTCTTGGTAATTAATAAAAAACATGTATGTAACACCTCAGAGTCAGTGGTAGTCCTTCATGAGAAATTAAGTAAATACTTACAGTGAGATTCACCTGCAGGGGATGATTTGTCTCAAAAATTAGAAGGAATTAATCATATTGGGATGGCTCTGTCTTCCCTAATGGCAGCAAAATTTTAGGCTACAAAAATTCAGTGATCATAATCTACCTGAAGCCTTTATTTCACTCTTTTATCCATTACGGTATTGGCACTGATTCTGCTGTATTATGTGTGTAGACCTTTGTCATATAAATATCCGGTTTGAAACTGCTATAGAAATAGTATTCTCAGTGAAAATGAAGGGGAACAGGAATCTGTTCAAATATTTTCATGAAATTTGTTAGATGAGAAACAAAATGTTAATATAATACTCATTTCTGGTCTAGATTTACAATCTCTTACTATTTTTTTGCTTGTATAATTTGTAATCTGTGTTTTTCCTACAGTTTCCATGCAGTGTCAAGCTGAAGTTCAAAAATCAAATTATTTTAATGTGGTTTCAAAATCATGGAAAAATAGACTCCTATGTATTTTATGTCTTACATTTGAGGCTCTGTGATTGCTGATTATTCCTTCTCTTCCTTTAAAATGCCACTAGACTGGCTCCAGAGTTTACATCTAGTGTAAAATTATATTGCTATCATTCTTAATTCTCTTTTGTTATAATTTATTTGACATTTTTAGTTTTTGTCATAACCTTTTTTCTTTTTTTTTGCATGCTGTTTATTATGTTGCTGCACAGCTTATTGAAACATGTAAATATTTGTGAATAGCGCCTTTTGTATACTGAATTATACTTTTAAAAAGATTGTAATGGGAAACAAATCTATCTTACTGAGTCTTTTTAGCATTAGTTTTCTCTTTGTGTTCGTAAATGACAAACTTTTATGTGAAAAACAAGTTGCTTCATAAGCAGTGAGGACTGGCTTCCTTTTGTCTTCTGTGTTCTTTCAGTACCACTGCAATAAATTTTAACTAGTTCCCAGATTCCTCCTGCTAGCACATCTCCTGCTCCTTTCTATGTCCCCTCACCTCATTTCATGAGGCTGTTGTGTTTCTGCCATGTTCTCTTATTTACGTTTTTTGCTTGCGCTGCTAGGGCCAAGATGAACTGTATGCTGTGTGTGCTCTGGAACAGAGTGCATGATGAGTAGTGCTTGCTGGCCACAAACAGAGAGGACAAAAGCTGGAAGAGATTTGAAAGAAATTTATAGGAATTGCGTATCCATACTCTATGGACAAGTTGTGTTGAAAATGGTTATTGGTTGTTGGATTCTAAAATTATCTGAATTGGTGAATAGACATATTGATGTACAGATATTTAAGTAAAATGATTCCATAACCTTCATTTCCTTAGGTAAGCATGGTAAGAATATACTTGAGGGAGGCTGTTTAATGATTGAAACCTGGTTCAGAGAGGTCATCATACCTTAAATGCATTATAGATCTGACCTGATGATTCGCGCTTCTTAACTAGGTATTTACTGCTGTAATATGCTCTGGAATATGGTCTTTCTAAAAATATATAAAACTGATGACTTGTAAACACATGATGTCACAAACATATTTTCCAAGTGTTCTAACCTCATGTTTTAAACAAAATCAAATGTGAAAATTGCTGGTAAATTGAAGCTCAACCTCACAGAGATTCTAGTCCTTGGCAGTGGTTACTAAGTGTTGCAAGAGAGTCTGGCACCTGCTTTCCTTTCTTACCTGATCAGCAGCAGATTTCCACTGGTTCCCATACACTTCGGGAAGCAATAGTTGCAATAGGGGTGTTACAACCATTTTACCCTTTCTACCCTCAGACTGCTGCGATTGTAGATCCTCTAATCCTCTATTTAATTTTTTTTTTCACCAATCCTTCAGTTTTTATTGCTGCCTACTGTCAGGGAAGGGTTTTAATCTTTACATTTACGTATATAAAGAACGTGTCTTCTTCTCTGTGGTCTTCTGCTACTCCTTCACTGTGGTCCTGAGTGTGTTACTTTGGCGCATTTCAGAAACTGCATCTGTGGAGTTCCTGTTGTTTTTGATAAGCATGTGGGTATCAAGCTGCTAACTTAAAGCAGAATGTTTTTTTACTCTTCCATGAGGTATCAATAGTTCTTTAAATGAATCACTGAAAATGGAATAACACTGGTAATATTTCAACTAAACGTTCTCAACATTTTTTAATATTGTGGCCCTTCATGCTTGTCGTTTTAGATCACAATGGGAAGAAACACCTTCACAAATTCTATAATAGATATGTTTGTATATATATGTATATACACACAGGCACATACATAGATATAAACATATATATGAAAATTCACATATGCTTCTAAAATAGAATTGGGTGCAACTGAGAGTCTTTTACCTAAGAATTTTGGAAGTATCAGAAATAAAATTACTTCCTATGATTAATATAATTGTTGATTTTGCCTCTTGAGGTGCAATGAGGGTGGGGAGATGATTGCTCTTAGGTCACTGCCTTAATGCTTTAATTCTGCTGTTTCCCAATGAATAGATGTTAAGTTTTTTTTGCTTCAGTTTTGCATGGAATTTGTCTTAGCTGTTCATGCTTTCTTTTCAAAGCTACGAAATTATGCAAGCTCTGAGCGGAGCTATTAAACTACTTACCAAAAGGAGCAAGTGCATGAGTTCGAGAGAGAAAATTTTCAAAAATGTCACTTTATGGCATTTGCTCCTACAAAATATGAGAATGACCATCTTGAGAACAATTTGAGAGAACAATCACAACATTCTCAAAATGTCTCCATTTTGAGAAAAAAACATGAAGCAAGTTTTTCTCAAAGCAGTAATGAAATCATTCTGCAGATAAACATATTTTAAGAAGATCAGGTCAACTAAGCATACTGTAGAATCTTATTCTTTCTGAAATAGATACATTTTACATATTTGTGCACTTGCTTAAAGTTAGCTTTTCTGATAATGTGGGGTGTAATGGGCGTCATAAAAGTTTCGTGACCTCAGCAGTATCTTCTGGATACATTTTGCCTGAAACACCATTCTGAAATCTATTTACTGCACACTTTTTCTCTCTTTCATGAAATGATATTGAATACTTCACAGATTGTAGATTCTGACAAACCTCTGATAGTCCAAAGGAACTCGGAGTTAAAACTGAGCATTTCCTACATGGAACCCAGCTGTCAAGTGATGAAAGAGGAGATTTCAATTTTCACTGCTCCTTTTTGTGGTTGTTTATTCCAGATCATGTTTTAGTCCTAAATTAACCAAAAAATGTGGAAGAAAGAAAGAAAATAAAATTGGTAATTTAGGGAAATAAAAACTATTTTATACTTAGTTTTTTTCTTTTTAAATTATAGCTATAAGAGCACTGAAGCAATTTAAAAGCAAGAGTAATTCTTCTAGCAAGAAAGAAGTTGGTGACCAAGGGAAAGTCAAGAAGGATACGGAACATCAGATTACAAAGAAGAATCTCCAGTTTTCGAAAATATGGCTAACAAAATACTCCTGGTTAAAATATGATGATGAAAGGGGGATAATGTTCTGTGCATTGTGTCGTAAACATAATGTGGATCTGGGGGAAAACATACATAATTTTTATTCTGGCACTGATGACTTCAAGCTTGAATTTATAAATATACACCAGAGTAGTGAAGCTCATGCCTGGGCTACCTGCATGGAAGCTGCCAGCACTGCTTCACCTGATATAGCTTCTGCTGAACAAATGTTGAAGAGTATGAATGCTATAACATTAGGAAGAGTAGAAAATATTTTTAGAACATGCCATGCTATCGCTAAATCTGGACGCCCCTTTACAGATCTTGACTGGATGTGCAAACTAGATGATATGAAAGGAGTAGATATTGGTTCTGTATTTAGAAACAACAAGTCAGCAAAGATGTTTATACATTTTATTGCTGAAGTAGAAAGAAGGGCTTTAAAAGAGAAACTGGAGAAATGTAAATTCTTCTCTCTTATTAGCGATGGAGTCACAGATAGTATATTCAAAACAGCTGCCGTTGTCTATGTACGTTTTGCAAATGAAGGAAAAGTTCATTGCCAAATTGTTGGGGTTCAACCTGTTCATAAAACTGATGCTTCAAGCATGAAGAATGCTATTGAGCAAACATTACAAATAAATCTTCAGCTTAATCTGGCAAGCCAAGACTGGTCAAGAAAACTAGTTGGGTTTGGAAGTGATGGGACAGATGTCATGGTAGGAGAAAAGAATGGTGTAGCTAAACTTCTGAGAAAAATTCAACCTTGTGTGCAATCTGTACATTGTTTTGCTCACCGACTTAAACTGGCTTATAAAGGAGCATTGAAAAATATTCAGCTATATAACATCTTAAGCAGAGTCTTGAAAAATATGTATTATTTTTATCATACCTCACCTCTAAATAAGAACAATCTCAAAGCCACATATGAAGCCATTAATTTACGTCCAGCTATTCCTTCTCGCATTGGAGGCTCCCAATGGCTCCCTCGCCTGCAAACAGCACTCCAAATTCTCCTTAAAGGTTATCCTGCAATTATTCTACATCTAAGTAAGGTAACTCTTTTAAAAATTGGATGTACCACTAAAAAAAAAAAAAAAACTCTATGGCTAATTTTGGTCCACACGCTTGGCACATTTTCTCTCCTCCTTGATTTCTAGATTGAAAGAGATCCAAGAGCCTCAAATCAGCAAAAAGTCAAATGCCTTTTACAGGTTCTTCTGAAAATGAAGATAGTCAAATTCTCTCACTTCCTGCTGGATGTCATTAATGTCCTCAACATTCTGTTACGAGTTACTCTGGATCACAGTTCTTCCATTGCAGATATATTTGCAACTGTGCAGTCAACCCTGGAAACACTTCACATGTATCAAGCAAGGTCTGTAATTTCTAACAGTTGAGCCATGATCTAAATTAGAATGGCCCAAGTGTGATATGTTTGCATTCTTTATTTTCAGAGCTGGTCCAAAGGAACGCTTGATGGAGACTATTCCACACTTTCATGGTTACCAACTTGTCGGAAATGGAAATATATTATCAGTACGAACTAAAGTCCTAAGTAATTTGATGAAGAGGTTGCGTGACTGTTTTTGCGATGCAAGTCAAGAAGTTTTGAGAGCAACTACTATCGGAAGTTTTAAACAATGGCCTGAAAAAATTAGACAAGGTATAGAACTATGACAGCGGTTATTTGAAGAAGTATTTGTTCTAAATTTATTTAAAATATAGAAAAAAATATTTTGCCTCTGTTATAGAATTTGGTGAAAAGGAAGTGTCTGTCCTGACTAAACATTATGAAGTCATGCTAGAGGCTGCCTCTGTGAAAACTGGTGAAGTTGAAAGCGAGTGGAGCATGTTGAAATTAGAGCTATACAGCAGGTAATAAGAATACTGCATTTGTGTCTGTTTTAACTAATTAGAAGTATCTAGAGCACACTGAAAAGGATTATGGAAATGTATATAGTAATCCATAAAAATAGATTTTTTTACTGTGCTCTTTAGATTTCAGAACATCCAGTCCTTGACATGGGATTCAGTGAATTCAGATTATTCAGTGAAGTATCCCAACATCCTGAGATTGGTAGATTTGATCCTAACACTGCCTGCAAGTTCAGCTGAAACAGAGCGAGGCTTCAGCCAAATGAAACTCACCATGATGCATCTGCACTCCAAACTTGTGTCTGAAAGTGTGACAGATCTTATGATAATTCAGATGAACTCTCCGGATATCAAAAGGTTTGACCCCAAGAAAGCTATTCACCTGTGGAATACTACTTGGCAGAGAAAGAGAAGACTACAGGAAGATGATGTGAAAATAAATGGAAAATCAGATTGCTCCTCTGAATTTGATTTGGAGAGTCACTGTGGATGTGATTAGATGAAAATTATTTGTTTTTACTTCACAATCATTTCTCTAACATATATAAATATTTTAAAAGAATGTCTTGCAAGATTAGTGAGAGTAAAAATTATATTTATTCTATAATGTTGCAATTTAAAAAAATGGCTTTTTGTGTATGCATATTCACTGCTGAATCATTAGCTGTTTGCATTTTCTCTTATATGCCCAATTTCTCCAAAAGACACAAATCAGAAGACAGTGCACAAAAAAAAATGGAGTACATTGTGACCTTGCTGGCACTTGGACAGATGGATGACTCACAAGTTCTGATTGTTTTTTTGCTCTTACCTGAGTCATAATACATTATATCCACTAGAGCTAACTGTTTTCGTAGTCTCAATCTTTCATTGGTCTTGAAAACCCAGATTTTGGAAAAATGGGTAGAAAATTAGCACATTATTTCTGTCAAATTACTGTTTGACATCTGCAGCCTGTAAGTTTTTGGTCATGGCTTCTCTCCATATTTTGCTGCTTTTTATTCTACTGTGGGCAAGGTTTAACATGACCTTTTACAGACTTTTGACAGACTTTTCCTTCACACGACTTTCATGCAGAGGCAGAACAGAGCCATTTTCCATTGCTGATTACTAAGTGTCCAAATCAGTCTTCTCATAGTAAATGCTCTTGTAGCCAGGATATGACTAACATACTTCACAATTTGAACCATCACTTTTCCCTGTAAAGAAAATACAATGCTATATCGTTATTCTTAGCCTGGAAGTTGAGAAAGAGAACTTCAGAGAAGTTTGTGATTTCATAACATGCCACTTTCTACTTTCTAAATGTTCTAAATTCAAACTACTTTGTAATTTTCAATCAAGAAAAAGCATAGCAAAAGAGTGCATTTCTACCACCAGCAAAGGTAATAATTTCAAAAGATAACTAAAGCAAGATCTTAGTTCTACTTCTTAGTCCTTCCAACATGAAGATGAATTGGAAATAATTAGGGAGAAAGGAATTTGAGGTTATTCACCTTAAATCAACTCTTTCTCAATGAATGTCAGTTCTGTACTTTCAATATAAGACCTAACATGTCTAGTAATTGTAGAAGATACAGTATATATATCTTTACTGTATGTTAGAAGATATAGTATATATATCTTTACTATATGTATTTTATATAATTCATGCTACATCTAGGTCAAAATATTGCCTGTATTGGAAACAGAATGGGTTTTGAGTAAATAGCTCATTAAGAGATTTGAGTCCAGTTAGGTATTTTGTTGGGATCAGAAAATAAAGTAAGTATTGGGCATTAGATAGAGTATTATAATATACACATCTTTGAAATATCTCTATTTATGATTGTTTACATTAAAAAAAAAGTTTAGTTGTACTTTAACTAATAAGCAACAGGATGTATATTATAGAGGATGCCTTGCTAGACTAGTGTTGCTGATGCTGAAGATTTTCTCCTGAATCTCATAACTGCCAATATTTCTCTTCGGGATTTTTAAATGGGAAGATTCCAGCTGTGATGAGATTAGAAAAATTACATGAAAACATATACCAGAAAATACAACAACAACAACAAAAAAGCAAAGTAACAGGCAAAACATACTGAACTGAGTAATACTGAAGTCATATGTATTTCTGGATGTCTGGAGCAGCTTCACATTTTTGTACTGTTGAGTTTGAAGAGGGTGCATAGGTTGATTTTGGCAAATACCAGAGAAATCTTAATGTCATAAAAATGATTGGAAAGGACTTCTTTAAATCCTGCAATGAAATGCGATCAAGTTTAGTCATACTATCTATAGCCAATATTTCTCCCTGCTTTTTATACGCTTGTAAAATATTCCACTCTAATTTTTTTTTTTATTTCTCTAGTGCTGTAGTGCCCTTCTGATTATATGTCTATCAAGATTAATTATGAAGATTCTTTTTGTAATATTCTGTTTTAACTGGAAAACTATTGCTATGTTTCCTCTCAGTCCTCCTTATATAGATGAGATTAATGTAATTCCTTCAACCTTTCATCCCAGGCCACATGTTCTAACCCCATGAATCTTGGTCTTCTCTCCTGGGACATCTGCAGTTTGCACACATTCTTCTTGATTTGCAGTTTCCAAAACCACACTCGTATAGAAGCCTTAGCAAAGCTGAAAAAAAAAAAAAAAAAAAAAAGGAAGGATTGTTTCCAGCATCTTCCCATGTGCTTTCTGATGATACTGTTTACTCATTTTAGTTTTTGATCATCCATAATCCCCAGAGCTTTTTCTACAGAACTGTTATACCTTGGCAGTAAGGTTTCTGCCCTGACAAAGGGCACATTCCTGATGCAGTTCATTATTATGTTAGCCTCTTGTACTACTTAACATTTATTCTTATTGACTGGAGTCCTGTTTATCTCAGGCTATATTTCCTAATTTTTCTTCCAATGTATAATTTCATTTAGACTAAATTTCGATACCTTGTGTGGAAAGTGTCACACACACAAATGCCAAAAGTCTAATTCTAATTGCTAATGATTTAGAAAATATTTTAACTTAATCCAGTAACATAAAGCTTAAAGCTGGGAAATAGCTCTTGTTCCAAATGCCTTACTCAATATAAGTGTCATGTGATCTTTCCAGGAAGTTGTTGCTGCTCCAGAATTGTGAATTGCATAGAACATGTATATGAATAATATATTGAGCAATAATTAGAATGGGTGTCCTAATAGTTTTCTCCATCTATATCTGGGCTCCATAGAGTTAGAGAATGATATAAAATAATTCATGTTTACTTTCTTGAATAAGTCTGCTCATTTATTTTAAGATATTAAAGAGTTCTCTGTGACTATCTGGGTCTTCTCTTCTCCTTTTTATGGCACAGCTTGCTGGTTTGCTTATAATGCAGTGTATGAAAAGGTGTCATTCAGTAAGCGCTGGATATCTTAAACGCCTTTCTCCCTTACATTATGTTTCTGAAGTGTTTGATTCCCCAGTTCTGTGTATTTCTATACTTTTATTCCTCACTTTCATTGGAATGCCACCATTTAATGGGCCTCTGTCATCCAGAAAAAAAAATAATTTTTTGACTCTCATTCAAGTGTTCCTTATTAACCAGAACCTGCTTTTGGAAGATACTGCATTTTGTCTTCCTCTTCTTCTTAATCAAAAGTGACACATTCTGCAAACTTAACTCTTTGTATGCTTTCTTCCTCTTTTACCAAAAAAGTATATATGTTGTCAAGTCACATGTCCTGTTCTCTCAATATGCTTGTTTTTTTTTTTTTTTTCAGAAATCCCTTATGTCCTGAATCAGAGCATGACTATGGCATCACTTTTGTTTTAATTTTCCTTATAATTTCACTTAGGTATTCAACAATCCTCCTCCTTGCTTGGTTTCATAATTCAGGTAGTACACATGCTCTTGGACATCCAATAAGTTTTTCTCTTTCTCCCTAATGCTCCTGACATTCATATTTAGGTATCTCAGATGTCTGCTTCTAACTTTCAGTTGCCCTTCTTCTTGCTGTTGCTTCTTCCTGCTGCTGCTTCTGATTTTCATGATTTCCTGGCTTGAAACCAGTCTTGCTATATAGACAATTCAGAATTCAGAATGGGAAGATGGAAAATTTCTTCCTATTCTTTCCCAAAAGATATAATTTCCTCCTACCACTTACAGAGCCCCATTCACTGACACCAGTGTTCTTTTCTCAGCACCATCTGTGCACCTGCCCACTCACTTATAGCATCTCATAATGATTATGAAACACTTCTGTCATGTTTGCATCCCCTAAAGAAAATTGATCATCTTTTGTCTTGCAATATAATGTGACATTCAAAAACAGTCCATGCTCTGCAGTATAAAAAAAAAGACAAAATATCTAAAAATATCTAAAAAGAGTTATCTGATATCTCTTTTTGAGAGGTTTCCTTTTTCCATCTGAATAATCCTTCTTCTTCCTAAGGAAAAGGAAGGAGGTCTCACAATATCTGAGGTATAACACCTTTTTTAAAGATGACTGAAAATTATTTCAGAAGTCAGACATTACAGGACATAGGGGTAATTTAGGAAGTGGCCACACAGCACATCAACAAATAGAAAAAAAGTATTTGTTAATGAAAGATATATCTCCCTCACACATGAGTAGGTATTGCACAGCAGCCAAGAGCAATTAAACATCTCACAGGAATCCATCTCTTTGACATTACTTCCTGTCAGCTAGGCTCAAACTTACGCAGAAGCTGTGTGCCAGCATGTTCTACAATACAATAAAAATGCTAGACATAGTGATTAAAGGTTTAATATTCAGTCCTTTAATCCCATTTCAGACCCTACCTCTTGATTAGAGCTCACTAATTTCCTTTCTCCTCAAAACTTCCTAGTTATGTTTCTAAGGTCAAAAGTGACACAAGGAGAAAAGTATCCTTCTGGAATTTTGTACATAGAAACAAAATACAGGTTAGGTTTTAAGAAGCTAGAAAATGACTAGTTTCTTTGTATTCAACGTTTGTAAGATTCAAGGAAGTATATTTATGGTCATGTGAGGAAAGCAAAGCAGGAAGTAAAGAGTACTATGATATCATATGGCAACAGGATTATGTGAGTGAAAGTAGTTAGCAGATTTCTAGTAGTAGGATTAGAGATGAAGAGGGAAATGTAAGCTGGTATTGTGAACAAGTTACTTAAAGTTCTGAGGCAGCCTAACCTGAAATAAAAAATATGATCTCTATATTCCATGGTAAAGTACTAGAGAATTTGCAGTTGCAAATAAGATACAAAAATTTATCTTTTCGATAATTTTTTACTGCCTCCTTAGTGAGCTATAGCCTGTTCTCCCCAAGAACCAGTAAAAATAATGAGTCATTAAAGTTACCTGTTTTAATATTCTATAAAGTCTACTGTTAATGATACTCCTGTGCTGTAAGCTTTATTGTGGCTTATAGAACTAATCTGATACCTGTGACTTGAAGTCTTCATTTAAATGCACGTTTCTGGGTATTTTAAAATCAGCAATCGAAACTGCTTCAGCAAGCAGTGTACCCACA